AGAGAGAGAGAGAGAGAGAGAGAGAGAGCAGCGAGGATGAGAAGGCAGGAATATCGATCGAGGGAGCAGTTGTAGGAGAGGAAGCGGCAGCCGCAGAAGTTCAAGAAGAAGAAGAAGAAGAAGAAGAAGAAGAAGAAGAAGGGATAGTGACAAAAAGCGGTCAAACTGATTTCAGTACAGGGTTCTGAAGCTTTCCAATCCAAAACCGCATGTACAGCACTCAGCGACGCGCACAAGACGAGAAGAGGGACGTGGTGGGTTCTTTTGTGCTGATCGGAGAAAGAAGTGAGCAAGCAGGTGATCCATTAGTACTTGGAATTTCAGCCACGTCTTCAGAGTGCACTGGAGCAGCAGAAGGAGGTGAAGGTGGAGGTGGAGGTGGAGGGGGGGAGTCGGCGGTCATCATCACCACCACACCACATATCACCGTTGAGCTTTCGAGACCGAACGCTGAGGCCTTACATAGCCAGCCATGATGGCGTTGCCACATAATGAGTCCGGTAGCGGCAGAAGCCGGCGACGCTCAGCCGGCTCCTCCCAAGATCGCGACAGCCCGATCGACGTCGGCAAGGTGCTTGAAGAGGCCAAACGCAGATGGCTGCGTCCTCGCGAAGTGGAATACCTTATCAGGAACTACAGACTGCATGCGTTCTCCTTGGCTACGGAGCCAGCAAAGCGACCAAAAAGTGGTACATTGTACCTGTTCGACAAAAAGAGGTGTCGGTATTTCCGGAAGGACGGGCACGACTGGCAGAAGAAGAACGACGGGAGAACGGTGAAGGAAGCGCACGAAAAGCTCAAGGTAGAGAGCGTGGACATTCTCCACTGTTACTACGCGCGTTCCTCGGAGAACGAGCTGTTCCAACGGCGGAGTTACTGGTTGCTGGACAGGAAGGGAGAGGAGTCGTTCGTGGTGCTTGTCCACTACTTGGAAGTGACGGAAGAGTCCGGGCGCCCGCCAAGGTCGCTCTCAGAGAGCGCAAGGCAGTCCCGTTCTGCGGCATCTGCGTCCTCGTCGGTTGGCTTGATCGATCCCGTTGCCTCGTATAACTTCGGTCCGAACGTCGGCGGGAATCGTCCAGGCAGCAACACCAGCAACAACATCAGCGCCGTGGGGACCAATATGCATCAGACACTTGCAGCAGGAGGATTAGGAGGAGGAGGAGGAGGAGGAGGAGGAGGAGGAGGAGGGTGGGTGGTGGAGGGCAAAAGCTGGCAGCAGGTGGATTCGAATCTCGGCGGGAATCGTCCATGCAGCACCACCGACAACACCAAGAGCGGCGTGGGGAGCGATGTGAATCAGAGACCTCTAGGAGGAGGAGAAGGTGGTGGGTGGGCGGTGGAGGGCAACAGCTGGCAACAGGAGGATGACGAGGAGAGAGAAAGAAGGCGATTGAATGACCGCTCGGCCACTCTCTGGAAGAAGTCGGCATCGTACAAGGTGAGGGATCGGAACATGGGAGATGACGAAGTATCGAGTTCGGGATCTGCCGAGGAAAGGGACGACAGGGAGACCGTTTCTGTTGGCGAGATGGATTTCGTGCTGAATGACGACAACAAAAACGTGGGTGTCGCGTTTGGATCCCTGTGCATCGGCTATTATCAAAAAGAGGTAGAAAGGGTAGAAGACGTGGAAGGGGAAAAGGAAGAAGGAAAAAAAGAAGAGGAAGAGCAAACGAGAGTAAGCCAACAACAGCAGCAGCAAAGGGAAGACGAAGAAGACGATGGGAAGGAGGAGGACGACGACGACGACGAAGCGGAGGAAGAGGAGGAAGAGGAAGAAGAGACTGCAGACCTGTTGGTTCCTAGCTGCGAGCTTCTGTCGTTGGGTGCACTCCCTCTCTCTCCACCGCCAATCTTGTGGGGTGAGAATGAGGATCGCTATCCCAATGACCATCTTGTCTCTGCGCACTATTACCTGCGACCGCGTCATCACGACCGTCACCAGGACTACGCAGCTTACAGCCTTCCTAACCCTTCCCAAAATCATCCCCACCTCCCTCTTCCGCCTCCCCCTCCCCCTCCCCCTCCTCCTCCCCCTCCCCCTCCCCTTCCCCTTCCCCACGGTATTGGGACCGACAGTAGCGCCTCCCGCATGTACATGGAGTAGACGTCCATGGAAACTTTTCATCACCACCTCTCTCTTCCTCCTCCCCCTCTTCCTTCCGACGGCATGGCGACCGACAGTAGCGCCCCCGTATGTACATAGAGTAGACATCCATCGAAACGTTTCCACGTACTTGGAGTTTTAGGAAGCTAAAGGGTGTGATCATCCATCCTCGTCTTGGTTACTGTTTTGGGAAAGTAGCAATCCATAGATCGGTCATAGAGACTCACGACGAAGTCGCAGTAGCCTAAGGGCTAGGCCTTGACCGTTGCGGTGCTACTTTTGTGTTGTGTTAGCGCGAACCTGGCCACTTTTACGGTCAGTTTCAAACTTTACTAACACGGACATAGCACCAGTGGGGCCTGCCCCTTGTGGTGCTATGTCCATGCTAAGTTAGATTACCGTTGTTGTCATCATGTAATAGATGCAGTTTATTCACGACCAGGTCCGTGCTTTGCTTGCTATCTGAGCACAAACATAACACGAACATAGCACAAACATAGCACCAACATAGCACCAACATAGCACCAACATAGCACGAACATAGCACCAACATAGCGCAGAGTATTCACGACCAGGTCCGTGCTTTGCTGCTCTCTGAGCACAAACATAATACGAACATAGCACAAACATAGCACGAACAACATAGCACGAACGTAGCACGAACATACCACGAACATAGCACGAACATAGCACGAACATAGCGCAGTTTATTCACGACCAGGTCCGTGCTTCGCTTGCGCTCTGAGCACAAACATAACACGAACATAGCACGAACATAGCACGAGTATAGCACAGCGGGATGTCTATGCTGAGTTACTTAGATTGAATCCAGTAGGTGCGGTTCTTGCTTGTTTTCTAAGCAGCACAAACATGATGGGCCTCGCTGCACTACTCTTGAAAGGTGCAAAACAATCTTCCGCTAGAACATGGAAAGATACAGCGACATGATTTTTGTCTTGTGTGCATTTCAAGAGTAGTGCAGCGAGGCTCGATAGCACTCATGTGCAATGAGCGTGCAGTTTTAAGTGGGCTGTGACATTAACCGGTCATTTTTTTTAATAATCTTTCTAAGTCCTGGGCTCTTAACTGGTAACTGAAAAGAGGCCTACCCTTCTTCACCCGAATACAACGTACGGTCATTATAGCTGTATTTGGCGTATCTTTCCGTCTAAATACAGGAATAGTGACCGTACGTTCTACTCGGGTGAAGAAGGGTTGTCCGCCAGGGACAATTCTGCAGATTCCTAAAACCGGAACTACGGCGCCTAAATTCCGGTTAAATGCAAGTTCATTGCATGATCTGTCTTATCACGGCCTTCACTCGAATAGAACGCAGGGTCATTATCGCTGTATCTAGACTGCAAGTTCGCCCAAGTGCAGCTATAAGGACCGTTCGTTCTGCTCGGGGTAAGACGGCAAATCGGTAGCTTGACTGAACGTCGCGGGCATCTCTTGCTCGAAAACGCAGAAAAAAAGAAAAAAAAAGACCGAGCCATCCCGACGAGACTTCTTGTGACGATGGGTTTGGCTCTCCCGAGAGAGGGAATTTTGGGTTTATCTCTTCTCGGACAGGGAATTTTTTGTTATCGACTTCATCCCCTGGGCTTTGTTTAGAATTTTGCTTGCGCCTTTCTCGTTTCCTGTTCTTTCATGCGTGGCAGAGCAGCTGCCTTCTGTCGATCGATTTTTTTTTTTTTTTTTTTTTGTGCTGTCGATCGATTTTTCCCCGCACCGGTAGCTCAGTCAATCAGTCCACGGAGTATGGATCCCGACGAAGATCGGAGTCGGGATTACTAGCCTCTGATCGTATCGATGGGCGATCCGAGTACCGTCTTCCCCCGAATACAACGCACCCTCATCATGAATGCATAGTGTTATCTTTCCGGTCCCGTGCACTCATGATGAGGGTGTGCATGTTGTGTGTTTGGGGGAAGACATGCCCCTTCCCTCCTCTTTCCCCCCCGCCCCCAAAAAAAATAAATAAAAATAAAAATAAAAAATCTACTGACAATTATGACAGCTGTCAGGAAACAGAAGTCACCATCCAAAGGGCATATACTCACCCGGGAAGCTTATCAGCCTGGGAACGCATTTGACCAGCTTTTGTGGCTTGATTCGTTCCGAAAGTTTCAAGCGTGATCATGCCCTGACGGTCGGCTTGGCCGACGCAGAACTCACCGGCGGAAACGTTACCCGACCTGCGGATCGTCAGACCTCCCAAACGCAATCGCTTCTTTTTTTTTAGAATTCCTTTTTGGTGTGGTTTCTTTCATAAGTATTACTCAATCCAGCGGCCTAGCTCAGTTGGTAAGGCACGCAAGTGGCATTCATGAGGTCTTGGGTTCAATCCCCATTTGGCCTCATGCACCTTCCTGGGCAAGGCGCCAAGCTTGGTCCCCCCGAGTGGCATTGAGCAAGAGGAGGGGACCGGAGGGGAGGCACAGTGACTGGGCCATCAAAGAAGCTCGTTACTTATGCTACCGGCTGACCCGTGGCCGGTATCGCCCACCTGCTGTAGCAGGTATCGCACCTGCGGGTGGGTGCAGCTCCCGCATGCATGTTCCCTCGTTGGAGGCTTGAGCGCGGATGTGGCTGCTACGGGGTTCCCGTAATAGTAATACTACAATGACAATAAAAAAAAGTCCTGAAAGGGCGTCCTGTCCAGGTTCGGCAGGTAATTGAATTGGTCGGGCTTAAAGAATTAGTCACCAGCTTCGACAGGCCACTGAGTCACCAGGGTATTTGAGTAGTACTCAGGCCACTGAGTCACCAGGGGCCAAGTCCCACTTACCCGAATGATCCATTTCTGACCGCAGATACGGAAGATCGACGATCAGAAATCAAGGATCAGCGTAAGTGGGACTTGGCCCCAGGGTATTTGATTTTTCCCGCAAAAGTACAGTTGCAGCAAGCGGCCTAGCTCAGTTGGTTAGGCACGCAAATGGCATTCAGGAGGTCGTGGGCTCAATCCCCACTGACCACCGGCGGCACTATTCGTGCCAACTAATTGAGATAATTGAGATGGTTGGCTTGCTCCACCCGTTCAGTATCGGTAGGGTCTTTGGCCATCAGGGGTGTGCGTGTGTGGGGGGGGTGTGTGTGGTGTCGGGGAGAGTGCTGGCCATAGACACTGCTGTTACTCGATGGGGGCGCGGGAAGTAGATGGGAGTAGCAGCTACTGGCTAAATGCTCGGTCTTTGCGTTAGCCGGTCTACTCCCGCCGGTCTACTCCCTGACCACAGCCGATTAGGGCGGGAGCAACATGCATCCCCTTGATTGTGAGAGGTAGAAAGCTATGCTTGCAGGGGTCCCCTGGGGCTAGGTCCCACTTGCACGAAGTAAGAGATACTGACCGTAGATAGCAAAGATCAACGGCCCAAATCTCCTAATTTGCGCAAGTGGGACCTTGCCCCTGTACAGGCTTAGGAGTAGTGGTAGGTAGGTAGTGAAAAGTCAAATTGGGAGAAGGAAAAAAAAAAGAAGTTGCCGCACGACGCACGTCCCTTTAGCTTTTCCTCGTCGACGGCGAGCTGGAGCTGAAGCACCCGCCCACCTATGTAGCATTCGCACCCTGCCGTGGAAGTCTCCACTTATACTGTATCATCCAGCTTTGGCGACCCATCTGTATTCGTAGGTACAGAAGAGTGTACGAACTACAGGACAGATCGTGTTCAAGTACAGCCGTACACGGTCCTTTTCTGACTAATGATTATACTCGTGCGTCTTTAAGTGGAAACAAAAGTCCGGTTTGCATTAGCAATTGCCGCTACGGGCTGGTCTGGGCGGGCGCGAGTACAAAACAAAATTGCTTCTTTAATGTGAACGTACGCGAGCTTCCCACCTGTGCTGCGAGCATCAACTTCTCACACGCGTACCTGCCTGCCTGCTTGCCTGCTGAGCACGGTCGGCCCTTGATACACTGCCCTGTTCATATCTTCCTTCCTTCTTTTTGTTTCGAGTTTTCCCCGCTAGTTGTTTTGTGCTCGTCAGGGGCCGTCCACACCTGCATTTGCTGTCGTCAGGGGCCGTCCACACCTGGGGCAAGGTCCCACTTGCACGGATTACGAGATTCTGACCGTTGATCTGTGCTATCTACGGTCAGTATCTCTTAATTCGTGTAAGTGGGACCTAGCCCCTGCATTTGCTATCGTCAGGGGCCGTCCACACCTGCACTTGCTATCGTCGAGGGCCGTCCACACCTGCATTTGCTATCGTCAGGGGCCGTCCACACCTGCATTTGCTATCGGTTTCCCGAGGAGGTCCGAATTTATTTCGCCATTGATTGATTGATTGATTGCTTTCCAAGCTGCAGACCTAAGGATGGTGCTGCTGGTGTTACTGCGAGGGCGTGGTGCTTATAGCCGAGGTTGCGTGGACAGTCTGGAACTAACTACTTGCTGCTGCCGGTGGTAGATCATCCATCGCTGGGCTTGACAGGACGTCACCCATCTCACTGCACAGTTCCGGTGGAATGGCGCTTGGCTTTCGAGCTCGAGGGGTTGGTTTGATGTTGGACATCACGAGCGCGACAAACACGATCGTGCCCTGCGGCGCGCCTATGAACGAACGAACCAACGAATGAACGTGGAAATTGCAGCCGAAGGGCAATATGAGATCGGACGACTCGCGACGATGAAGCGGTGGGCGATGAAAGTAAGTAGGAGGCGCGCAACATCGACATACTGCCACGTGTAAATAGAAGGAGGGATTTGAG